ATTTTATTGTCATTTGACTTTCTGACAGCTTTTTCCCCCCCCCCCCGCCCCCCCGCAATGAGTTACAGTCAATTAAACAGAGTTTTGCTGTGGCAAAGTTGATCCAGAAGGAGGTTATTTCCACCCATTCGTTTGCTTTTCCACCTGTGAAATAGTTTCTAAGTCAGACAAAAACTGGCCAAACAAAATATCTTCCACAGGCTGCTCTCTAAAGCAGGGATTCACCAACTTTCTCTCTATTTTCTATTTTGTTGCATACGGTTTTGTTCAATCTGGCTTGGACTCTCCTGGCTTAGTGCTAGGGCTGATGCCATGAGTTATCATCTAGGGAAACTTTGCTCTGAAAGCTCCTGCTGAAATCCACCTGAAGTACACCAAAGAGCTGAGACCTAATTTAAAACCTTCTGTAGGCCCTGGTTTCTAGACGCCTTCATTCTAGCAGATCTCTAATTTGAAGAAGGTTGAAGTTAGCCATGCTTCACACGGGGCTTTCTGCCCCCAGCACTCATGTTAATACTGTTGCTTGTAAGAGTGTTCCTGATGAGGGTAAGGGGACTTCTCATAAAGCGACGTATTTGCAAGGTTGAGGTCCCACACGATATTTTGTCCGACATTTTGTGGGTGATTAAAGGCTTGATTCGTCAAACAGGGCATTCAAACTGAGGTCCTTAAATTAGGGGCTAGCATGTTGACGACTCCTTCTCCGGTGAATGGAGAGCGTTGGGGACCTGTGAAGGCAATGCTACCCACCTCAGAGCCCCAGTGCCCTCTGGCAGTCCCCATCTCCCTCTATTGATTCTAGCAGGAATGCCGGGAGACGAGGTTCCCAGTGCAGGCGCCTTGGTTAAAATGCCTTCGGTTAGGTTGGGATGAATCCGGCCCTTTGTACATTTGTGTGCTGGTGCCAATACTGTAAATCCTTGCTCAGTGAAGGACTTCACTTATGCAAGCAAATATTGCCATTGGGTTCGGCAAGTAAGGACAACTCATACATTTAGTGTGCTTCAGAATGCAAATTGCATAGAAACATTCAAAAAGTTGAATAATGCCTATTATTCATTACAGAAGTGCCACCACCTCTCCGGTGGAACCCGATAGGCAGTTGCTTTGCAAAATACACAGCTGGTTGTCTATTTAGGGATTTTAATTACAAAACGTGCCCCTGTTTTACTGCTAGAGAACGGCTCAAACGGCAAATTGGACCAAATGGATTGTTTGTTCCCCCTTCTCTTTGAAATCTGAAATGCGTGACAAAAAAAAGTGCAATGCCCTGTTTATGTACTAAATTAGGTCCTGATTTAATGGGAATGCCCATGGGGACAAGCGTAGGGGTGACGGGGTCTTTGTGTGAGATTTGGGGCTGAATTAGGCAAAAATGGCAAAGAAACTAATGGCCTTTGGAAAAAAAAGATGTTATAAGACGAGAAAATAGCAAAATAATCTGGTCGTGCAGACACCTGGCGGGGTTTGCTATTGACACTAGCCAAGCCAGGTTTTTCTCTTTGAATTTTGGCAAAGAGGTGGGTCCAGTTGCGTGTGCTTGACTTGGTGAACATGAACCTCTCTCTGTTCTCCCACCATTAATCTCGAGCTCTTTCCTTCCCATTGGCCAACTTTCAATAGGAAGGAAGGACGGTGTTTCCATAAAATGCGGTGAGCACATGAAGTTCCTCCAATGGCAAACACAGGGTTGCCTTTCCTCCTGGGCAAGTGCAGGTGGCTCTCCTCACTCCTGGCTGAGGGCTCGGACTGCCAGGCAGCGATGGAGAAAGAGAAGAAGGGGACCTGTTGCCTCTTCTGCCTGCGTATTAGGGCATTGCAGCTACATCACACCTGATCCAGACTCAGTCCTGCTCTGCAAAGACACCAAAGCATTTGCATCAAATTTGGCACGGCAGGGTGAGTTTGTAGAAGATCAGCAGGGCATTTGAGGGTGTTGCTGGTCCACAGTTAATATTTGCTTAAATGGCAACCCCTGGCTTGAGAAAACCTACTCATCTAAGCCCTCAGGAGAGGTATGTGAAGGAGAGGATGTGATCCAGACTCAGTCCTGCTCTGCAAAGACACCAAAGCATTTGCATCAAATTTGGCACGGCAGGGTGAGTTTGTAGAAGATCAGCAGGGCATTTGAGGGTGTTGCTGGTCCACAGTTAATATTTGCTTAAATGGCAACCCCTGGCTTGAGAAAACCTACTCATCTAAGCCCTCAGGACAGGTATGTGAAGGAGAGGATAGCACCTCTTTGAGCAACACGGTTGCTTTGGATAAGGGTACGTTCTGTACAGCAGCTGCTTTAAACGTTTAACTTAGATGTTGTAAGAGGACCAAAGTTAGGAGTCTGAGGGGGATTCATCCCAGCAAGCTTTAGATGCTGAAGGTAGCCGACTAAGCGAGCAAACTAGTCCCTCTTAATTCCTTCTAGAGTCAGTAGGGAGGCAAATATTCCTCCAGGGCACGATGGTCAGAGGTGGAGTTGCCCTCCAAGTACCTTAGGTAGTTAGTCCACGCAGTGCTTGCAGGTGTGGGGCTGGTTGGGGAAGGATGTCAGATGTACATTTAGCTGGTCTGAAATACAGAACGGGTGAGCCTTACCAGTCTGAGTGAGAGGATCCGGGGTCTGAGAGGTAAGGTTTTGGTCATGGCTGCACATTGATGAGAAAATACTTGTTGGTGTCAGTGGGATTTGTTCAGGCAGTATGACCTTCATCCCTGGTCCTCTGGTCAGTGCAGCCCTTTCTGTCCCAACAGCAAAAAGAAAGTAAGTAACTCTAAGAAAGCAGATTTCCTCGAGAGAGAAATTTGTGTGTGTGTGTGCAGTTCCATGTGTTAGTTATGGGACAAGCCTCAGCGAAGTGAGAGGTTGTTGACAAGAGATATTTTTCCAGTGGAGACACATAGAGGAAGGCCCATCTGGAGTGGTCAATGCCTGAGCTGAAGGATGACTTGAGTTCCTGAAAGCTGTGTTTTCCCCCACATCCCTATTGGCTTGGGTTTAATAAACAATATCCCCTCTCTCCCAGGCCATGCCTTGGACTTGCGATGAACTCATTCCATTTCCTCCCTTTCAGATCACCCAGTTAAAGATTGAGAACAACCCTTTTGCAAAAGGTTTCCGCGGCAGCGACGACATGGAGCTCCACAGGATGTCCAGGATGCAGAGGTAACGTGTGCCTCCGTCGCGGGGACCCGCTCAGGACCGCGAGAGCCGCCTGGGCTTTGCTTTGCATGCCCCTTGCGGCTTGAGCTAAGCCGGGACTTAGTGGCAGTCCCTTCTCTGGCATCTGCTTGTGCGTTTCATGTCAAGCTGTTGAAATATCACCAGGATGTGGGGCCAAAATCCAGGACTTCCCACTCGGAGGTGAATGCCTTAACTGCTGGGTTACAGAGGCAGGATCTCACTTGTGGGTTGTCCTCTCGGCCGCAGGGACCTTGTATTTCTTTCTGACATGTTCCCATCCACAACCACCTCTATCTTTGTGCTAAACAGATGTCTCTGCGGCTGCATGTGGGCTTAAACCTGTTTAAAGCAACAAGAGACTTGGACTAGCTCTGAGAAGCTCTGGTCATCAGGCTACTGCAGAGGAGCTGTTGGGTATTTTTTTCCCCAGGTGGCAGTGCTTTAAAGACAAAGCTCTCAGCCCTGTTCTGGGAGCAGGTTTTTTAAGGATGTTCCAGATGCCTCTGGAGACCTTGGTGTGGAGACGTATGTTGTGCTGGTTTCTGGCTTTTGGAGGGTCTTTGGCAGGAGGGGAGTGTTTGCCTGGTCGGTTCTGGATGTGCAGGTCAGGAGCGTAGGCGTGGTGGTTTCAGGTTGAAGAAGGAAGTTATTAGAAAATGCTGGGATCTCCAGGGCCAGGTGGCTGAAGGGGTCTTTTTGAATCTCAGTTTTGGATGTAAGTACTTAAGCTGAAAATCAAGCCTAAATCCTGTTTAAAAATCCCGTTTAAAGTCCTTTTCTAAACGTCAGGTCCTGCCGGTAATTAACTTCATGCCTTTCACTTCACTTGGAACTTCGTCCATGTGCCAAGTTGCTTCCTGGTACAAATGTTTTGCAGGAACCCTGCCATACTCATGATTATACCTAAGACAGATGTAGACGCTCAATATAGCATTTTTCATCCAGGAGGGCAGGAGTGACTCAGATCCCTTATTCCCCGGGACCAGCAGAGCTGGCTCTCAGTGGAGGCCTGTAGGGACCTGCGTTGTGACCTTCTGCCAGGAGGGCTCTCTCCACCACCCGCCCGGGAGCCGGCTGTAGGTGGTCACTGCAGGCTGGAGTGCAGATGCCGGTGCAGATGCAGGAGTCTCTTCTGGTCGCCGTCGCTGGTGACCTGAGCATGGCTCTCCCCAGCCGTGCAAATCGCACTGGCGGGCAACAAATAATGCCTGTAATCCTGCAAAGGCTTACAGCCGTAACCCTACTCAAAGGGGCAAATGTACTCCTGTGTACAAACATTTTCAGGCTCAGACCCAGAAAAGCCAATATATATATATATATATATTAAAA